TCCAGGGGCCAAACGTTCCAAATCGGGGCATTGCCCTCCGTGCTGGTGGAGAAGAACTCGGAGCTGCATGAGTGGAATCTGGACAGGAAGTTGAACATGGAGAGTCTTGTTTCACGGCTCCGATGTGAAAGACCAGAACAAGCAAGTGGCTCTGTTGTAGGAACAATCAACCAGCCCCGCCATCATGCAAGCACGCGGGGCTGCTGATGCGCCAAGCGCATGGCTTGCTTACAGGGGGCGGCGTGCAGCATGCCGACGCGAGACAGGCATTTGCCCAATCCTCGTCAGGTGGCGCGCCCGCGTGGGATCGGACCCCAGGGGGGCAAGGCCTGGGGGTTCGATGGGCATGAGGGCCCAGTTTGGTCACTGATGCTGTTCTTGCATGGCCGCCCTGATGCAGGGGGGCACTGAGAACGGCATTGTGAGGGGCGCGTTAAGTCCATGGCCATCAAAGGCCTTCGTGGCGCTCGCTGAGAATACACCGAAGGGGATTGATATTGACCCCCCTGCTGATGTCAGCAGATACTCGGGCGCGATCATCGACTGAGCGGGCGATATACAGGTCTACAGGGCGAGATGCCGACGGGGTTGGATCCATCTCTCTAGGGCCGAGAAAGACAGCGCATTCGGTCGCTGCCCCTGCGCGGGAGGTTCTGCGCGATGACGGGGGGCGCTATCGCTCATGGGTGCGGCGCGACCCGCGCTGCCCAAAGCATTGGAAGCCCCTGGGCAGAGGGCCAGGTAGGAGGCGCGTAGTGCGCAGGGTAACAATGAACAGCGACGCTGAAGAGGTTGTCGCAGATGAATAATTCGTTGAGGGTAAAGAAGGGTAATATGCGCGCTCGCGTCTGCCTGAGGGGGCGACTAACATGTCTACTGTCCTGTGACATGAGGACAGGGGTCGGACAGACGGAACGGATCAAGCTGAGCATCGGCGGGTCTGCAGCTGCGCCGCAGAGCCGCCGGTCGAGGTTCCCGCGGGCGCTGCCCTGGCATCGCGAGTTCCAGTCCCGAAGAAGCAAGTGGGAGTTATTGCTTCGGACATGGGTGTCAAGCGCCTCGCGCGCTGCTCTCTGCGCCGAGCTCATGGGCGACGACCCGGAGACTCACCCGGCGGCGGGCGCCGCGTTTTGAGCCCCAAAACTGGGCGCGAGGATGGGCGGGGAAGACCGCGCGGGGAGATCGTGCATCTTGCCGAAGAGGCGATCGCAGACGCGTTGGGCGTCGAGGCTGAGGCGTGCCGCCCTGATGGAGAAGTCAAGGTGCACATAGAACAAGTGGGGCTCTTCGGAGGACGACCTGCACCGGCCCGCCGTGTCGGCGTGCTGCGCGGAGCCCGCGTGGCTCGCTTGCACGTATTATGGGCTGTCTGCCAGTCTGCTAGTTGTCGCGAAGTGGACTGAGCTGCAGGACGCGGACCTGTCTCGACTGATCTGTTACATCCTGGCTACGCTTATGATTGGCGGGTGTCGTGGGCCGGGGATGCACTTGGCGTGATCTTGAAGATTTGGCTAGTAGTATTAGGACGCGTCGCAGTACCAGTGCGACTAATCAGAAATCTGGGGGCCCCGCACTCTGGCTAGTCAGAACATGTTTTGAAGATGCCAGACTCCCAGACGCGCGCGCCCCGCAGTGCACCAGAAAATGATGTCGTCGCGGCGGCCCTCGCAGTGAGAACGGAGCTACTGCCCGCGTTGCCACTGAGGGGAACGCGATTGGGACGCGCACCCCAGTTCATCTTCGCAGAAGATTGCCAGACTGCATGCAATATTTGCAAATCGGGCGGTTCGCAAAAGCTGATGCGCATGCCTCGCGCCCACCGCGTTGATTCGTCGGCTATTGCTGAGCGGTGCGCGCGCGGCACAGTCGGTTTTATATGCAAGCATCCTGAACCACCTTTCTTGAACCGACCTCGTGGGTCAAGTGGCGCCGCAATTTCGGACTTCCCCCAATAATGATGCTGATTCGCAGTCAATGTTCGAAGATGGCTCCCCCTGAAACCCAGCGGGTGGTCAAGCCGCGCAGTGGGCGGTCGTCGAGATTGCGGCCCGGCAGCGGCTCCATCGAACCAGGGAAGACAGACAATCCCAATGGTCGGGGAAGGAAGGCCAATCGTTCCAAGCGCGGGTGCCTTTCGGGAGCCGCTGGGGGATGATTCCAAGCAAAGCTTCAACAATCTGCTCATGACAGAGGTCGGTCGCAGTGAAAACAGTCGTCTTGGACAGGCGAGGCCCATGCCGGGTTGGGCTTGCGACGTAGCCTGGCGAACGACGGATGGTGACCTCGCCGCTGAATTGGCGCTGCAGAAAGCGGTTCGATGTGTCCAGGGGTCAGTGGGGAAGCGCGTGGCCCCATAGCCCCACATGCTGTTCGCGCCCCCCCCCCTTGGCAGTTTGTTCTTGAAGCAATACATTATCGGAAACGAGACCGCAAGGTCTTGAGAAGGCTTCTAAGGGAGTGATCAGAGGCCAGGGAGCTGACGTGGTCTTCCAGAGCGTTTGCGCAAGTGTAGTCCTGAAGGGTACTGCGTGCTTGGGGCGGCCCTCTCAATGGCGATATTATTGGCGTGGCCCGCAGCAGTTTGAAGTTCGCGGATGTACATGTGGGCTGAAAGCCATGTGTGGCACGCGCATGAAGAAACCTTGGCCGGTGGCCACCAATTGAGAGTGGCTTGCGCCCATGATTCCGAGGTCGTGCGACGGGAGTCGCGGGCGCGCCATGGCTCGGGGAAAGGATTGCCAGATTGGGGGGGAACGCGCGCATTGCATGGTGCGCGCCGTTCATCGTGCACTTGCGCGCGTCGCGCGTGAGGCTTTGCATGCAACGCCTGTTGAGATTGCGTGTGCATGCGCAACCGCTTCGGCATCGACAGTGCCCGGCCCCTCGCCCTGCTTGGCGATCCGCGTCGCGCCCCCCTCGGGCGCGCTCGCGGACCTCCGCGCCGCGCTCCTCCGACCCCCCCCCCCGAGCGCGTTGAGTAACCGCGCCGAACTCGCCGTTGGCGAAGATCAGTCGGTCGAGGACATGTCGCGCATCATCTGCATCTGACGCAACGACGGCCATGTTCGATGAAGGAACCGACGCGCGAGCGAAGGCCGTCCTCTCGGAAGTTAGGGCCCTGGTGATAAGATCCGGTTGGGCCTGGGGAGGATGTGGGAGCTCGTCGAGGCCGCCGAAGAACTCCTGAGTGGTTCGCTCCGCGGAGAAAGGCATGACTTCGGATATCTCTTGGTGGTCGAACCGAAGGAGCCTAAGAAACATCACCGCGCCCCTCGCAGCTGGCGCTGCGCGACGGAACGAGGTCGATGAGGTGCCGGCGCACGCTGCGCCTAACACAAATCTCGTGCTCGATGTTCAGTTGGGCGCCTCAGCGGTGGAGATCCGTGAAGCGGAGCAGGCGATGGCAAAGCGGCGCAGGACCGTCTCTTCAGCGGATTGTTCAACAGGCCGAGGTTCCAGCGCTGCGGAGGTGCGTGTTGGGAGCTCCGGGCTGAATGCCAGGTGAAGGACGTCGTCGAGAGGGCGGCGTGCTCGAAATATTGGGCTCCGCCCGCGGCACCCCCGGCGGCCTGTGAGACGGCCCGGGAGCGGCAGCCGCAGAAACCATAGAGACACGCGCAGAGGTGCGTTCAGCATGCGTTAATTTCCATGAAGTTCGATGCGAGCTGTGATGGCTCGCCTGGCGAGCTTGTTGACGCTCGTTGTCCCGGAATTGTTTTTCGATTCGGGTTTTGGGGCCTCCAACCCGAAGACGATTCAAAGTATTGCGACCAGGGGCGAATGCCTTTAGGCGCCCTGGATTGCTCGGAAATTGCAAGCTCCAAAATACTTGAGGGTCGGGGAGCTGATTGAGTGGGTTCAGTCGAGGTTTGACCTGGTGTTCACAAGAACGATCTGGAGGGTTCCTTAGTCTGCGATGCAAGCTACTGCGTCAACTCTTAGGGAGACAATGTCCAGGGCGGTGAAGCTGGCCTCTGTCCTTCGACAGCCCTAATGGAACGGAAATGATCCATGCTTTTGGGTTTGCCATCCCAGCTACCAAACGATCAAGAGGCGGTGGGACAGCTTGTGACCCCCTTGTCCGCGCTATCTGTCTGGGGCGGGAAAATAGTGGGTGTCATCGCACCATTTTTAGGACGTGAATCAAGAAAACCCTTGAACTTCTTGCGACGTCTTAAGAAGAATGTGCGCGGCGCTGAGGCGAAAACCACATTTTGAAAAGAAACCGCCCCCACCAGCCGTGAAACTCTTGCAAACTTTCAGAACAGGTGCACGCGGCGCTAAGGCGAGAGCCACATTATTTTGAAAACGTGCCGCCTTCCATCCGTGAGCGTGCTGCAAGTCTTTCAAAAGGGTGTGCGCGGCGCTGAGGCGGAAACCTCATATTGAAAGCGGACCGCCCTCAAACCGTGAAAATGTTGCGTTTTTTGGGGCTGTGCAAGCAAAGTTCTATATATGTATGTATGTATGTATGTATGTATGTATATATATATATATATATATATATATATATGTATATAACACGGCCATGTATCGAAAGCGGACCGCCCTCCATCCGCGGCCACATGCTCAAATTTCCAGGATCATAAGCGGTGACGAAGTCTCAGTCGAAACGCCCGGCCCGCATTTTCGACCGGCCTCGGAGTGTGACAGAGGAGTTATTCATAAGGAAAAGGATGGAAGAGGAGGAGGAGGAGGAGGAGGAGGAGGAGGAGGAGGAGGAGGAGGAGGGGGAACAAAAAACCGAGGAGGAGGAGGAGGAGGACGCAGACGGGGGGGAGGACTTGTGATAATAAGGGCGAGGGAAAATATTGAGCACGAGGAGCACGAAGACAGGCAGGATGAGAAGAAGGAGGAGGAAAAGGAGGAGGAGGAGAAGGACGAGGAGGAGGAGCAAAATGAGGAGGAGGAGGAAGAAAAGGAGGAACAGGAGGAGCAGGAGGAGCAGGAAAAGCAGGAACGGCACGAAGGTCGAGGGATGGGTTTGCGCCGCGCCCGAGGGCGCTGGCGGGCCCGCTGCGCGGGAGAAGCTGGTGCCCGTCGACGGGCCGCCGGGCGTTTTCCGTCAGGACCGCCGTCGCCATCGCCGCCGCCTTGGCCTCCGCCGCCGTTTTTCGATTTGTGTGTGCTATATTGTATACCCACACACTTATTTATACGTATATTTGTTTATAATACTTTATGTATGTATGTATGTATATATATATATATATATATATATATATGTTTATATGCATACTTATATAATTAAATACCTATATTTGTACACACGTGGATGTGCATATACGTATACACGTATATACGTGTATGAATGTATACTTATATATGGATTTACTCAACTATCTATATGCGTAAACACGTGTACACTTATAGACTTATATGGTCACTTACGTATACAAATATTCATGTGCATACTATATACTAACATACGTATGTATACATATATGTATATATACATATATATCGTCGCGTGCATATACGTATGTATTTATACATTTATATTTTTATATACGTATGTACGTAATTACTTATATACGTATATATTTATATGCTTGTACACTTATATACATATAAACACACTTACATGTACAAGTAAATACGTATACACTCATACATTCATACACTCATGCACGTAAATGCTTACATGCTTGTCGACAGAAATACATATACATAACCATACACCTACATAGATATACATGTGTATATACATATATCTATGTATACATATATGTGTATAGATACATATATATTCATTGTTATGTATGTATGTATGTATCTATATAGACACGTGTATACTCATATATTCATATACGGACTTACCCATACACCTGTACACGTATCGATGTTTTATGTACATATACATACATATTCTTTCATATTTCTTCATGGAGTAGGGCCGAGGGTCAGGGAGCGCCTTCCTCTGCAGGACCACAAAAAAACACGTCGAGGTGGCTCAACGCCTTGCCAATGAAGCCAGCGAAGAGGTGCAATGTCCAACCTTTTCGCTTATGTCCAAAGTTTTGGCTTGACGCCCAGTGTGGTGCATCAGTCTCAACTTGACCGAACAAGTTCATTGCGTCCCTTGACGTTCGTGTGTGGTGTTCTGCAGACCTGACCCTCCAGCCCTACTCAACTTCTAAACTTATGTACTCCTATACTTGTAGGCATGATGTATACAGATATGCAACATTGTATTTATATATAGTTCGATGTGTATATGCGTATGTATGTACGCACGTATTTGTGCATACATGTACGTATGTAGATGTACAAGACTTGAAGCTCGCTGCGCTTCGCATTGAAATCTTGGCATAATGTATGGATGCGCAGCGTGCGAGGTCGAGTTTCGAGGCTGCGGGTTCCTGGCGTCGGCGGTGCGCAGGCCTGTGGTCGGGAAGGTCGCGGGCGAAGGAACCTGGGACACCTCGAAGTGCGCGCGAGCCAGGGGGCACGCGCGCGCCAGTGGCACAGGCAAGGGGGGAGTATGCAACGGTGATGGCCTTCTATGGCCGCGTAGGCCGGGCTCCCGCAGGTGTATCCATTCAATTTGCCTGCGTCGTCCGTCTTTGCTGCTTAGAGGTCCCTCGCGGACTGCACTGATGCCACCAGCTCTGTAGGCGCCACCTCACAGGGTGGTAAATCTGCTCACCGCGCACCCCGACTTTGTTCACGATACCCGCTGACTGAGTTCACCGGCGCGTCGGAGGGGGAACGTGCATCCAGCGCGTGGTCCCCGGATGCTCCGCGTCTCAACCCAGCCATGTGTGCTTCCAGCCTCCTTCCTCCCTCCCTCCTCCCTCCTCTCTCCTCCCTCCCTAGCGCCAGCTGGCACGAGCCGCCGCTCTGCGCCAGCCAGCGCCATCGGCGCTTCCCCGCGCCGCCTCCCCGCTCTCCCCTGCTCCCGTCCCCTCGGCCGCGCTATGGAGGCGCCTCCCGCGGCCACCGCAAGCCGCCGCAGGCCGCCGCGGAAGGCTGCCGCGCGTCGCGCGCAGTACACGAGGGCCGAGGCGCGCGCGTCAGAACACCTTCTGCGCGCCTTCGCAGCCCTCACCAGCCATCGTGGCCGCCAGCCATCGCAGCTGGCCCAGACGGTGGCCTCGGCGCTGGCGGCGGCGCCAACGCCCTCTGCGCAGCGGGGCGCAGCGGCCTCTCCCTCTCCGGATGCTGTCGCTCCCGGTGCCCATGGAGGCGACGCGGCGGCTGCAGTCCCCTCGTCCCCGCTGGCAGCGGGACCAGCGGCCATGGCTGCCGAGGCGGGCTTTCCAGTCCACGGGGTTCTCGGTCAGCGGCTGGCGGCAGCGGGCGACGACGTGGTGGTCCCGGAGGGCGAGTTCACCTCCCCCTCTGCCCCCCCCTCTGCACGGCCTCCTTTTCTTCCCCGCGGCACCCCAATCCCAGGCTTTCCGCCTAGGACGCGGGCGGAGGCTGATCCAGGCCCCAGCCCTGCCACTGCTCTAGGCCTCGCGCAGGGCTTATGCCCGCCACCATTTTTTCGGCAAGTCTCTGTACCTTCACGGCCGTCAATGCCAGTACCACTCCCAGTACGCCCTGCAGCGCCAGCGCCGCCAGCACCTTCACGACCGACAGGGCCGGTGCCAGTACCCTCACGCCAGCCAGAAGCAGTGCCAGTGTCAGTGCCGTCGCCAGTGCAGCCATCATGTACGCCACAGGGGATCACAGCAGTGGAGGCGAGGGCCTGCCGCGCTGTGTTGTCAGCCTCGAGTAATCTGTTCGCGGCCCCGCAGCAGTCACAGGCAGACCCAGTGCCAGGGGCGCAGCTGCCGAGCCCCACTGTGCAGAGTCCGCCACGCCACGACGACTCTAGGCCCTTTTTCACCTGTACCCCAGCACGTGCCGCCTTGGATGCAGCGGCCGCAGCGCGGCGCGCTGCCGCATCTGCCGCGCACCAGTCTCCGCCATAGGCGGCTCGAGTCACCAGCCATCCCCCAGAGCTCAGCCAGTTTTTCCCGCCGAAGGCGGAAAGCCAGAGCACGGAGGGGGATGGGCAGGCATGGCAGTTTTTTGCGGCAGGTCTGGCTGCCCTCTCTGGCCTTCGCGCACAGCTACTCTGCACAGCTCGGCCTCTCCTGAAAGACGGGGTGGAGCCCACATGGGAGGGGTCGGCCACGCCCTCCTGAAAGACGGGGTCGAGCCCACATGGGAGGGTGTGGTGCCAGCGCCAACTGGCTTCGGCTCAATACGCACAGCGCAATTCGCAGACTCGCCACGGCTGAGTCAAGGCTGCGGCAAGCATATATGCCTCGTGGGAGGACCGCGGCACTGCGCCTTGGCTTGTTTCTTTGGCCCTCGTCCAGGTGTAGCAGGGTCCCCTTGGTCCCTGTGTGCCTGTGAGGGGCCACACGGAGGTGGGTCTCTGTTGTCTGGTCTCGGCTAGCGCCCAGGCACACCCACCTCCCTGTCGCGGACGGCCCGTCCAGGCCTTTCAGCTGCAGCGGCCGCCCTGCAGCACGGCAATGCCATTTTGGCCCTCTTCCCACTCTTCCCGCCTCATATGGGAACCCCCGCCCTTCCTCCAGTCCAGCACTCCTCCCCTGGAGGTTTGGACAGCCGCACGGCGGCCTGGCCAATTTGGCCCTCCTTCCAGCTCTTCCCTCTCCTTCAGCCGACCGTAACCTGGACGGCACACCTAGGCAGGTCTCTCCTTTTTCCAGCCTTGTACTGCTCTTTGCCTCGAGGGCTGCCCTGCTATGGGCAACGAAGCAGGGCCCCGCTGATGTCTCTCTTCGCACGGAGCTGCAAACTCCTCCTCTCTCTTATAAGATTCCTCTCTTCCCCTCCAGCAGCGCCAATACCTCTCTCCCGACAGTTTTCGGGACGAGAGCGGAAGCAGCTCAGCGTCCATGCTTTCGGGCTTCTCGTGTGCAGCCTGTGCCAGTCCTGTTGGCCTCAACGCTCAAGCTACTTGCAACGAGCCTAGTGAAGTCAAAAAAGTCTCCTCCCTCCCTCCTCCCTCCCTCCCTCCCTCCCTTCCTCTTCTTCTCCGCCTCCTCCTCGTCCTCGTGCACCACCTCCTCCTTCTCCACGCACGTCCACCTGTTGGTGTGCATGACGGATCATGGCAGTTGTTTTTGTCGGTTCGCGTCTGAGCGATTGCTCATAGTCCGATTTCTGATCTTGCCCGCTCTCTCGCTGCATTCTCGCTCCTCTTCGTGTCTGCTGTTTTTCTCGCTGCCTCTCCCTGTGCTCTCTCCGTCGCCTCTCAGCTGGGGCACGGTTCTCCGCCCTCCCGCCCTATCGCCACCGCTTCTCTGGGCCCCTCTGCCGTGCACTCCCCTTCGCGACGTGCCGGAGGAGTTTCCGCGAGGCAGGCGCCCCCAGTCGCACTGGCGCCCGATCCGCTGGCGCGGAGCCTCGCCGGTGTGGCCAGTCCTTCCACCCCGCTCGCGAGGCTCTCGTTGAGGTCCGAGGCTCCGTGCTCTCTGTGCATGCCGGCTCTGCAGCGAGGTTTCGTTCAAGTACGAGGCCCCTCCTGCATGAGAGGGAGAGCGGCTGGTTGTTGGGTTCTCGGTTCTATCCGGGGCTTTCTCCTCCCTTTCCCCGTGGCTGTTCCCACGTGTGCTTCCCTGCTGCGGCTACTTCGTCGCTGGGGCTTTGCCTGCGCCCTCTCCTGCGTGCCCCCTTCGGTGCTGCTTCGCTGTGCTGTTGCCGCTGGTGCTTGTGGTGGTTGGGTGGGCCGTCTGCCTGGTTGCGTGTCGTCGGCGGGCTCGTGGTGGCTGGACAGAGCCTTCGCTACCTGGCGCTCGCGCGTTGGGGAACACGCGGCCGAACCACAGGGTACCCTGCCGCCCCCCTTGCCGCACCTCTTGCTTCTCTCGTGTCCTGCTCTCTTGCGCCTTCTTGTTCCTCCTAATTGAATTGGGCGTGTGCCCCGCCTGTCGGCCCCGCCTGTCGCCTGGCGCCTGCGGCGGGGGGAAATAGAAATGATCTCCTCCCCCTCATCCCCCTCCCCCTCCTCCTCCTCCTCCCTCCTCCTCCTCCTCCTCCTCCTCCTCCTCCTCCTCCTCCTCCTCCTCCTCCTCCTCCTCCTCCTCCTCCTCCTCCTCCTCCTCCTCCTCCCCCCCCTCGCTTCCCCCTCCAGTGAGGACGACGACCGAATCTCGAGGATCGAGGATCGAGGGTCGAGATCTCTGGACGTCTTGGCCCTCTTTGGCAGGCTCTGGCGGGCCGTGCCGGCGGACGGCGCGCGCCCTCCCAGAGAGTCTGGCGCCGGCGATGGCGCGGCCTCCCGGCTGCGCGCAGCTTAGGCGGACGGCGCTCGCTGGGCGGCGCGGAGGATCGGGAGGGGGAGGTAGGAGGAGAAGGGAGGAGGGACGAGGAGAAGGAGGTAGGAGGAGAAGGGAGGAGGGACGAGGAGAAGGAGGAGGAGGAGGAGGAAGCCAGGATGAGGATGATGATGATGAGGAGGAGGAGGAGGAGGGTAAGGAGGTTGAGGAGGCCAGGAGGAGGAGGAGGAGGAGAAGGAGGAGGGTGAGGAGTCGCAAATTCCTGAGGAGGACTTGCATAGGAACGATCTGATGCTTGTATCCCGTGGGCAAAATGTCGGTCGCTCCACAGGTCAGATGCTTGAGCCAAGCAGCGTCCCACTCTCCTCACCAAGTCGCAGGGCCATGTTCTGACCCCCCTCGGCCAAAATGGCCGATAAAGGCGACGAGGGTGAAACGCATTTGCAGGGGACTGGATGAGGGCTTGCGGGATCATACTGAAAGGATGGCCAGGTCTCCATCCCAGTCGATCGTAGACGTGGGAATTAGTAACGTGCAAAGCCTTCACAGGTAGAAGGTGACTAAATAGTATGGCGTAAACGTGCAGGGGCTTCCGAACACGCGATGCAATGTTTTAAAGTGCCACTAAGTGTGAGGGTGCGCAAAGATGGTAACATCTTCAGTAGAGCGTAACCAGTGAGAGAAGGAGAGAGGAAATGAGAAATCACCTAGCGTTGGTGACGACGGCTAGCTGACCTGGCCGGCGTGGCAGCCCGACCACCCCAGTTGCGCACTCGCTCCGTGGTGTTGTCATATTGAAAGATGAGTTAACGGTTAATCTCGTCGATCGCGTCACACGGGGTGTTTGCCGTGTAAGCTGCATCGAGTTCATCACGATTTCACCAGCACCCGTAGCCGTCCTCCCTCATGCACTTAACACTTTTGTCCATGCTGTTGTCGAAGCGGGCCGTCGCTTTCAAGAATGTTACGAAGATGGGAGCCCAGCGTCCATATGACGTATGCGGAGTGCCTCAGTACCTGAGTTCGGGTCCGCGATCCACCGCCCTCCTTTAACCCACAAGTCGAAGTCGCACGCAGACAGCCAAGCCTGCCAGCACACTGCCTCCTTACGGTGCTTGGAACGGTGGCGCACATTTCCTATTGGGTACGTGTGCTGGCAGTTATCGATATCCCGGTGGGTGCGGTGTAACGGCACCTTTAATTCGGTCTGGTACCAGCAGGTGCCCAGGGCCTGACAAGGAGCTCTCAGTTCGTTCCTGCTTACCTGTTCGGGCGTATCGCACTGTTCGTAGTGGATAACAAGACCGTCTGCAAGCTTGATGAGCAGCTTGGCTGACTCCTCAGTCGCTCACCTCACGGTAACGGTACCAGTATTTATCTCACCGTAGTTTCTCATGGACCCCTCGTAGATAACCTTGGTTGAGAGAACCATTGAGTTACCAGCCCATATCATAATATTCCAAACGTAATGAGTACTTCATTATTGTGCATCTCGGGTGAAGCAAGGATGCGTACCTGAGTTTTGGGAACATCCTGGTGGGGATCCTGGTAACAGTGCCGCAGGTCAATGAAGTCTGGATCGAGCTGCCATGGGTTATATGGTGGACGATAGTTCCTTGGTAACTTTGCCTTCAGATGGCTAATCTGGGCAAGCCATGCATCGTGTGCGGCAGGTCTGCAACCCAGCCTCTCGTCTCTCCACGCAGATGGGCCCTCCAAATATTGTAAGGGTAACGGCTTGTAGGTGTCGCCGTAAAGGAACTGAAAGTTGTGCCTGTAATCTTCGCAGTCCTCCTTGGAGATAAGTTGCCCTGTGGGGTCTGTGAGGTCTCGCTCCGTGTTGTCGTCAGTCCATTTGCCGTAGTCTTCCGCCAGAACGTGCGAACAGCTTGAGTGAGCCACTTGAAACAGGAAGGAGCCACGAGGAACTTTGGATCGTACTGCTCGTCATCCTCGGCTTAGAGCCGTCTCCGCGCAAAGCTGAGGGCGCCTGCGTTTGTTAACGATGTCCCTGGCACGAATTTTAGCTAACGTCCTTGGAGACGGGGGTTGGGCCGGTGGACGCGCCGTGCACGCCACTGGAGGCGGCTCTAACCCGCCGTCGCCGAATCCCTTCAGGAATCCCTGGCTGCTGGCCGCGCTAGTACCACTGGGCGGTCTTCTGCGTGAGCATGCCTTGAATTCCTCGGATATCTTGTTCACCGAGCGGTCCCGTTTGACATCGCGTTCTGGTGACCCACCTGATTTGACAGGTGGCGGTGGCTTCTTGGGAGTTGGCGCTGGCTTGACAGGTAACCCCGAATTTTCTGCCTTCGACGTTAGGTGGAGGCGTAGCCTCTGATAACGGTAGCACCTCAGCGATCCCCTTTTGGCGCTGCCTTCGGCGGTGGCTTGGCCTTTGGTAGCGCGTGCGACGTTGGAGGAGACAGGGGTCTGACGCCGGTGGGGTGCTCAACGATGTCTGCATCTGTTAGCGTGCCGTGTGAGACCGAATGCTCTCGACTCGCAATCTCGCCCACCGCATTGGTTACTGCAGCCTTCGTATGACGGTGTGCTGGTTCTGGTAACCGCGAGACGATGTGCTCGATGCAGCGCGTTAACTCGGCCGCCGTGTTTCCTGCCACCTTGCGGCGCTTACCCAGGCGTGCCTCGGCCGCCTTGGCACGGTTTAGCGCGTCGATGTTCGCATCTAGCGCTTTCGTGTGCGTTTCCAGCTCACCCAACTGACGATTGCTCTTCTGCATGTAGCCAATGACGGTGACATCGGGTACCATGGCACATCTTGACGACCTCCTTTAAGGTGCTCGTTTGATCGTCAAGTCTGCGATCAACTTGCTTTGACGTAGCATCGTTGGGGTCTCCGTGAAGTGGTGCCTCGTCGCCGTCGACCTTTATGGTGATATGAAAAAACACAACAAAACACACACACACACACACACAAAAAACAACAAAAGCACACACAAAAACAACACATGTTTTTTTTGTGTGTGTGTGTGTTGTGTGTTTTTTTCCCACAGTGTTTTTTGTTTCTTCCCCACGATATACCCACCCGTAGGGTCACGTCCGGGCTGTCGGAGGCCGCCGTCGGACTGGGCGCCGCTGGGCCTCGGCCGCTGCTGCTCGCCATGGCTCCGCACGGTGTATCTGCCGCTGGTGATCTGGCAGGCCAGGGTGGCGCAGTTCGGAGATGCATCCCAGGGTGAGGGAGAAGTGAGGGAACGACCGATTCCGCCCCCCGGGCATCTGACGTGCCATCGCATCTTTCTGCCCGACGGCTCTCGGGCGTTCGAGGCTCGTCGCTGGGCCGGCGTTCGTCCTTCCGCCAACTCGTCGCCGTTTCTCCACGATACGGTAGAGGGAAACAATTAGTGAACACCCCCCCTGCCCCCCAGACTCAAGGTTGGCACGCGCGGGGGAGACTGCGGCCGAGGTGCAACTCATCAGACCCACCGCCAACTTTGAGCATGCATTGTGGAGAGGGGGAGGCGTTCACAGATGAATGTGGCATGAGTGTTCGCTATTTTTTTCCGAGGCCTGTTTGGATGGAGAAAGGGACGTAAGCACGATGAGCTTGGACCACAAGCAGCTGCGGTGCTGCTGTGGTGCCCAGTAGCACTCAGTAGCGGCTGCTAACCAATGCCCTCCTTGCAGTGCGATCTGATTCGTGGCATGCACATGTTTTGACAAGCGTGTTATGACTAGCGTATTCAGTTACTGCATCGGCAAGGTTATTTCCGGCACTCATCTTTGCCACTCGGATCTAGTCAGCGAGCGAAGAACGGTAGAAAATAAACTTTTTCGCCTTCGGGGACACCTGCCCCTGGGCGGCTGGAAAGTTTATACCCCTACGGTGCCACCGTAAGGGTATAAACTTTCCAGCCGCCCTGGGGCAGGTGTCCCCGACGGCGAAAAAGTTTATTTTATACCGTTCTTCGCCGGTTAATCTAGCCCCTCCTAACCCATTCCTGCAGACTTGAGTGACTTACTGGCAATGGCAATGGCTGCTGTCGCATCGCTCTTACTCGCAATTTGCGTAGGGACGTTGAAGTCTCTGAGTACGGCTTGGAGGCCTAACTCAGTCGAGCCCCGTTTAACCATTCCATCGTACTCCGCTTCACCAGAAGATAGCGCAATCACATGGTAGGTGTTATTCCAAGACTTTATTCAATCGCTTCGCTCATTCCGCCGGCCCTAGAGCCCTCTTTAGGGCCTCTTGGGGACCTCTTGGGGATCTCTTGGGAGTCTCTTGGGGCTCCTTGGTGGCGTCTTGGGGGCCCCAGGACCTCTTGGGGGGCTCTTGGGGGTCTCTTGGGGCGAGAGGGGCAGTAGTCGATTGCGGCTCCCCCCTCGGAGGCCACGATCCTCGTGAGGGGTGCTGAAAAATTGCGCTCCCTTGGAGCGCTCTGGGGACCTGACCGGGACCTAGCCGGGGTATTTTTCGTCCGGGGGCCCCCAGGGGCCGCTCCGCGCGCGCGAACTAGAAATACTGCTAACCAGTTACCGGAGATCTTAGCACGCCTCTGGCTCGTTGGGCCAGATAATTATGCATTCTCCCCGCATAACCACTCCTCCGCTGGTTGATTTTCGGCTTGACTTGCACCCAGCGTAACCAGTGTCAGTCCATATCGCTAACTCCTGGGGCAGTGTTTGGTGTTTGTACAGATATCCGTATCAGCTTTGATGCTTGCTGTGTTTGCCAAAATTCGCTGGATTCTTCCAAGCTCCAACAGCGAGCGTGTTTAGCCATGTGCCTAGCTAACTCTTTTACCGCGTACTGTACGTCTGATCGATCTTGGGCTGGGTAGTTGGCGTGGGCCATGAGGGCTTGATATTTCCTGACATCTATTTAGGGTATTTCTTCGTCCTCCTCATTGATGATCAGATTTGGTTCATCAGATACTCTGGACTCAGCCCTACTATTTTCTAGTTCCAGTTATTTTACCAATGCCTCGCCTTGTCTTGAATCGGCTTTATATTCTGACCCATCGTGATTCCATTCAACTGCTCTTCTCATCATCCGTATGGCTTGGCCCTCCTCGTTCTCCAACCT